GGATTTCTCGACTTGTATGAGCAGAAGACATTTTCATTACTAAGCTAGGAACATGGCTCACGTGTTTCGTCTGGTTGGTCTCAGGGTTTCTCATCGGAAAGCAGCTGATGCTACGGGAAGAGGATTGAACAAAGATGCTGCAGACATGTGAGGAGCTTGTCTGGAAATACCCATGAGTGTCAAGTTGGCTGTGGATGGCTCGCTTGTGCCAGGACCTGTGTACACAGGTGACTGAGGATGCCAGCTGTATGCCCTTTGGTCGGGACAAGTGGCGAGCCCTGCTTTGGCATTCGATTTAGTACTAAGTGCCAAAGATAACTGGTGACAGCTGGAGTGTGTTCGGGGTAAAAGTGTAAACACCCCAGAAACCTGGGGAGACAGGAATGTGGAACGAACCTTAGAAAAAGCTAGTAACAGTCACAAAAGTATGTAGACTCTATGGGGACTAAACATGATTCCCATCCCTTCACCCTACAAATTTGATTAATTTCTGATGCCAATTCTATCAGATAGTTAAGGGTTTCAAACTCTTCCCTACAGACATGAAGGAGGATCTGGAGTTGGCCAGTGAGTTGCCCAAGAGTGCAAGGTGAGCTAGGGCAAAGCCAAAAATTTGAACTCACTCTGCATTGGACAAAGTGGGGTCAAGCTCATAAAGTAAGTTCACCTCAGCTGCCACTCTCTGCGAAGCTGTAGAATGGACTGTTGGAAGTATGTAAAGTTAGCACAGCATTCCCGCCTGGGTTTTCAATAGATTGAATAGTGTGCAGAGAGCCTGGCATAGGTCTTACAGACCTCAACCCTTAAGAGATGTAAGCAGGAAGATCCTCCAGAGTTCAATGTTAGACTGTCTCAAAAACAAACAAGCAAATAACCAGGAAGTAAATAAATAGTACACAAAGGCTACCTGCTAACTCATTTCTAGAGAATTCGAGAAGAATGCATTTGGAAAAAACATAGACTATGATTCAAAATGTATAACTTTTCCCTATGACAAAATATAAAACTAATACTGTTTTTGCTGTTGTTGTTTTGGTTTGGTTTTTTGAGACAGAGTTTCTCTGTGTAGCAGTCCTGGAAGTCCTGGAACTTGCTTTGTAGATCACTCTGGCCTTGAACTCAGAGATCTGCCTGCCTCTGCTTCTTGAGTGTGAAGATTTTAAAAAAATAATTTATTTACTTTTATTTTATGTGCACTGGTGTTTTGCCTGCATATATATCTGTGTGAGGGTGTGACATCTTGGAGCTACAACAGTTATTAGCTGCTTTGTGGGTGCTGGGAGTTGAACTCAGGTCCTCTAGGAGAGTGGTCAGTGCTCCTAACCGGTGAGCCATCTCTCCAGGTCACCACACCTGGCAAACTAAATATTTTTTTAAACTTATAGAATGCCATACATTTTAAAATGAGATAAGTAGTGTTATCCCCCAAAATTTCAACAATTAAACATAACTTGAACAATAATTTAAGTTGAATTTCATGTATTTGACTCTGTAGAAATATGTTTAATATGGCAGTTATCAGAAATGTAATGTTTGTTTAAGTGGCTTTATAGAGGGACAGTTGGTAGAGCCCCAAGTGCTTAAAAATTTTATCTTTGGAGGACTTCAGAGCTAGAGGCAGGTGGCCCTCTGTGATTTTGAGGTCAGCCTGGTCTACAACCCAAGTTCCAGATCAGCAAGGGATACACAATTGGACTCTGTTTCAAAAAACATAAGAATAAAAACAAAATCTAAAAAACAACAACATTGTATGTTTGGACTGATAAGATGGCTCAGTCGGCAGAAGAGCTTGTGTGCAAACCTGAATTTGATTGAGAACCCATGGTACCATGGCATAATTGCACCAGGACATACACCTACAGTATTAATAATAAGATTAAATTGAAAATATTTGTATGGGCTGGTAGAGTATCAGTGATAGATAACTTTCTTAGGATGTGCAATACTGTGTTCAATGCCCAGTGCCAACATACACTCAACTGGATCTTTTTGAAAATATGTGTTCTAGTTCATCGTATAATAAATGGAAACTCAGAAGAAAATTTTCTATTTTAAAAATAATTTTAAAAATTAAGTTTTAAACAATGCATTTATTGTCTATGTACGTTCATGTGTGTGGGTTTATACTCCTGTATGCCTGAACATTTGGAGGCCAGAGGCCCATGCTGAGTTTTCCTCTACTGTTCTCCACCTTACTTTTGAGACTGGATCTCTTACTGAAGCTGGAGCTCACCTATATGACTAGACTGGTAGGTCAAGAAGTCTCTGGAATCCTTAGTTAGCACCAGGATTATACGAATTCTCCACACCCAGCTTTTAGTGTATGTTGGAGATCTGAACTCAAGTCATATGCTTGCAGGGAAGATACTTTATGCCTGAGAAATCTCTCTAGCCCCTAAAGTAACTCATTAATTTGATAAATACAAATTGTATATATTTATGACTAAAACATGCTGTTTGGATATATAGCTTCTGGGATGGTTAAATCAAGTAATTTTAACATATGTAATATATGCTTACTTCTTTTTTTTAAAGGCAAGGTTTCATGCATCCCAGGAAGGCCTGTAACTTGATAGCAGGCAAAGATGGGTGACCTTGAACATTTGGTCTTCCTGACTCCTCTTCTGAGTGCTGGGATTATAGGCATGAGCAGTAGTTTTAGATGGTATTGGGGATTGAACCTATGTCTTAGTGTTTGCTAGGCAACCAACTGAGCTACATTTCTAGCCCACATGCTTACCCTGTGTGTGTGTGTGTGTGTGTGTGTGAGAGAGAGAGAGAGAGAGAGAGAGAGAGATCCCCCCCATGCCACCACATAACAGATGAATAATGGGGACTGTTCTCCCATTTGCCTCAGGTGTTGATGGGGGACAAGAAACAATGTTCTTAGCTGCTGAGCCGTTGCTCTAGCCCCAGCCAGCACATTTTAAAATAATATACTTTAAAGTAATATATGAGGAAAGGCAAAATTAAAATAATACAAAAAGATATACACTTTTTGGTTTTGTTTTGGGACAGAAAGCCAGTGTAGCCCAGGTTGTCCTCAAATTCAGAATCCTCCAGCCGTTTTACCTCTAGAGTGTTGGATTTAAAGTTCTGAGCCACACCCAGCCAATGTTTCCTTCCATTGCCACAGCTATTACTTGGGATCTTCAAGCAAAAGTCAGATTTTTATTGTTGGTTAAGAATCGAGGTTGCCAGAGCAGTGGATGATAGCGTTCTAGTTAACCAAGTGTAAGAACACGAGTATTCTGGCTAAATTCCAGTGTGAGTGGTTTACATTCTCCAGCTTCAAAATAATTTTTATTATTAGCCAACACTTGTCCATCCCAGCAACATACACAACACAAAAGGGTAGAGGCCTCCCTTGGCATGTTGGCAGGCTGTCATACTTTCCACTCAGGGTTCCCTTTTCTGACGGCTGTGGCATAGTTTTTCACCCTCCACTAATTCCAAGCCTAGGATGTTTGTAGACCTTGAGTGCCAAGCAGTTACTAAGAACAAAAGGGGTTAAATATGAGCACCTATAGAATTCTGGGGGAGCAGAGCAATTCACATTTTAAACATTTATTGATAGCCGTGATGTCCGTGAAGTTTATTCTTTTTTAAACTCTGAATGAAATTAAAACAGTTTCATTTGCGTCTGTTGATAAACAGAAGGTGGGTTTTCTGCCTATACAAACGGCACAGAAAATTACAATAAAACCCAACAGATCTCAGCCCCTGAGGCCAGTCCCAAGTCTTTCAAGTATCCCTGGGCCTTCTCCCTATTTCAACTTTTTTTTTTCCCAACGGAAGAAAGGGATGAAGGAGCAGTATACAATTGAAAGCCTCTTCTTAAGCGTGTGAGTGAATTTCAAGTATGCTAAACACCTCAGTCTCCCAACCTAATTAGAACACGCAGAAAAGCGTCATTTGTGGGACACTTAAAACTTGCAGCATACTAACCCATCAGGAGAGCGCCCCTGTGTGTCCCTGAGTTGACTACGCGCAGCAGGTCTTCCCGAGGTCCCAGCTGCACCCCTTCTCAGGGTGTCCCAACCTTGCCAGAGTGCACAGCAGCTAGCCCCGGGTGACCCAGCACCCCAAGCCATACGTTGTCCTAGCTCAAGATTTTCTCTGCGGGCGATTTAGTACCTACCAGGGATTATAAACCTCGGCTGCTAAGGACTAGTATTTCTAGTGACTTCCAAAACGGAAAGAAATTCACTCTCTTGTCACTACAGTAAGATTTTGTTGCATATCTGAAAGCGCAAAGCCTGGGCAATATCAATATTTCCAGGGGAGAGAGTGGTGGTGGTTAAGATTGTGAACGTCCAGCTTCTGGTTTCAGATTCCAGGTTAGCCATTAGAACGCCTACTACGTACCAGGAGTTGGCACAGGGAGGAGCACAAGTTTGTCAAAGTCTCTGCCGTCTTGCTAGCTCGACTGTGTTCGTCAAGTTCTGAGGCGTTCCGGTCTTAGAATCCTACGGACTCCAGACCGCGTACCAAGGTGTAAACGATTAACAAACACGCGGTAGCTCATTAGGTACTGGCGCGTTTGTGATCCAGCACAATCAGAAGGGGGGGGCAGGTGAAATTGACCTCTCAGTTCTGCTTGTTTAAAAGTGCCGGACCTCGACGAAGACGCTTAGCTGGAGAGAGGCCCTGGAAGCAGGCGTTCACAAGCCAGAGTCTTCCAGGAAAGTGAGCCCGATACTGGCGGGTAGCCACCGAGAACTCCACAAGGACTTAGGACCAGGTTTCCCGCCCGGGTTCTCTAGGCGGCTTTATTAGCATTGACCACGCCCTCATCACTCTCCCGACCCACTATTGGCTGACGCTCTTCCGCTGCCCGCTCCGGGCGGGGCCTCGGGGCGCTCCGGGAGAGGCCCGGGCGGCCGGGCGGTGGGCGGGGACGTGCGGTGCGCACGGTGGGGCGGCCCAGCTCGGGGCAGGGCGGGAGGGGGCGGGCCCGGGGCGGGGCCTCCCGGCGGGCATTAGAGGCAGGTGACCCGGGCGGGGCGGGAGAGGGCAGTCAGCCTGTGCCCGTGGCTCCGCCGCTGCCGTCGCGCACCGCTCGGAGCTCACTGGAGGTGGGCGAGAAAGAGTGCGAGAGCGCGGGGGAGGAGCCGAGCGGGGCGCGTCCTGAGAGCGCCGCCACCGCCCCCCCGGAGTCCGCTGGAGCGCGGAGCCCCCTGCAGGGGAGGCGGCGAGCGGCTGGCGGGACGCGGCGGCGGGCGCGGACCATGCAGTCCCGGCCCGGCCAGTGCCGGCTGCTCGCTGTGCTGTGAGGTGGCCGGGTCCCCTCCAGCCGCCGCACCCCTCCGTCTTCCAGCCAAGTGCTGCCCGGCGCCCTTGCCCTTCGTCTGGGCTTCGGGTCACCGGTGGAAGGCACGGCCTGCCCCTGCCCTGCTCTGCCCGAATCATGCAGGGGGCCCCGAAGGAAGAGAAGGCGACTGACCGGCCCGCGCCAACCGTGGTCGTGGGGCATCCTGCTCTCTGAAACGCCCCCCACCTGCTGCCATGTGTCGCCGCCACAGGTACCTAGCTTGTCGTTAAACTTTTCCAGCTCTGGCCGGATTCGGAGTCTCGGGACGGAGGAGCCCGACTGGCTGCAGACATCTGCCGCCCAGCAGGACCCTCAGAGGTGAGAGCCCGCGTCTTCCCCTAATCCCAGTTCTCCCGGTTCCTCTGTCCCTTTCTCGGGGACTGGGCTCTCTGGCCCCAGGCACAGCCTGCAGGGCCGGGCCAGGAAAGCAAGGCGAGCGCGGGGAGTGGGGTGCGGGGAGTCTGAAGTTTGGTTCCTGAAGGTGGAGGGGAGGAAAGGAGTTAATGTAGAGACTGGAGACCGCGTACGGAGACCGAGTGGTTGGCGCTCCTCTAAGAGGAGTGGTTGCGATTTTTCTTCTCCCCCTGCTTTCTCTTTTAAGAGTTGTGTCCTTGGAATCGGAGCCCTAATCGTCTCTCTAGCCCTATCTGGCGTGGAGCGCTGCCGGCGGAGGCAGCGCCTTCCCCAGGCAGTTTATCTTTGGACGGATTTCTTTAAGAGAAAAAGAAACCAACAGGTTGCCAGCCCGGGCGTCACACTCAAGATTCCGGAGAGGGGGAAGCCGGGGCCGCGGATTCGTCGGTCAGCGCCGACCCTTGCGGGCAGCGGGAGGCAAGGGGAAGAAGGGGGCGATGGCTCGGCCCGACCCGTCCGCTCCGCCCTCACTGCTGCTGCTGCTACTCGCGCAGCTGGTGGGCCGGGCAGCGGCCGCCTCCAAGGCCCCGGTGTGCCAGGAAATCACAGTGCCCATGTGCCGAGGCATCGGCTACAACCTGACGCACATGCCCAACCAGTTTAACCACGACACGCAGGACGAGGCAGGCTTGGAGGTGCACCAATTCTGGCCGCTGGTGGAGATCCACTGCTCACCGGACCTGCGCTTCTTCCTGTGCTCTATGTACACACCCATCTGCTTGCCCGACTACCACAAGCCGCTGCCACCGTGCCGCTCCGTGTGCGAGCGCGCCAAGGCCGGCTGCTCGCCTCTCATGCGCCAGTACGGCTTCGCCTGGCCGGAGCGAATGAGCTGCGACCGCCTCCCTGTGCTGGGCGGTGACGCCGAGGTTCTGTGCATGGATTATAACCGAAGCGAAGCCACCACCGCGTCCCCCAAGTCCTTCCCGGCCAAGCCCACCCTCCCAGGCCCTCCAGGGGCGCCATCTTCCGGGGGCGAGTGCCCCTCCGGAGGTCAATCTGTGTGCACGTGCCGCGAGCCCTTCGTGCCTATCCTGAAGGAGTCACACCCTCTCTACAACAAGGTGCGCACCGGCCAGGTGCCCAACTGTGCAGTGCCCTGCTACCAGCCGTCCTTCAGCCCCGATGAGCGCACGTTCGCCACCTTCTGGATTGGCCTGTGGTCTGTGCTCTGCTTCATCTCCACGTCCACCACCGTTGCCACCTTCCTCATCGACATGGAGCGATTCCGCTACCCCGAGCGCCCCATCATCTTCTTGTCTGCGTGCTACCTGTGTGTGTCGTTGGGATTCCTGGTGCGCCTGGTCGTGGGCCATGCCAGCGTCGCCTGCAGCCGCGAGCACAGCCACATCCACTATGAGACTACTGGCCCTGCGCTGTGCACGGTCGTCTTCCTTCTAGTCTACTTCTTTGGCATGGCCAGCTCCATCTGGTGGGTCATCCTGTCGCTCACCTGGTTCTTGGCGGCTGGCATGAAGTGGGGCAACGAAGCCATCGCAGGCTATGCCCAGTACTTCCATCTTGCTGCCTGGCTCATCCCCAGCGTCAAGTCCATTACAGCGCTGGCACTAAGTTCTGTGGACGGGGACCCTGTGGCCGGCATCTGCTATGTGGGCAACCAAAACCTGAACTCGCTGCGTGGCTTCGTCTTGGGCCCACTGGTGCTCTACCTGCTGGTGGGCACGCTCTTCCTTCTGGCGGGCTTCGTGTCGCTCTTCCGCATCCGGAGTGTCATTAAGCAGGGTGGCACTAAGACAGACAAGCTGGAGAAGCTCATGATCCGCATCGGCATCTTCACTCTGCTCTACACGGTGCCCGCCAGCATTGTGGTGGCCTGCTACCTGTATGAGCAGCACTACCGAGAGAGCTGGGAGGCGGCCCTCACCTGCGCGTGTCCGGGACCTGACGCTGGCCAGCCGCGCGCCAAGCCCGAGTACTGGGTGCTCATGCTCAAATACTTCATGTGCCTGGTGGTGGGCATCACGTCGGGAGTCTGGATCTGGTCCGGCAAGACCCTGGAGTCTTGGCGGCGCTTCACTAGTCGCTGCTGCTGCAGCTCAGGGCGGGGCCACAAGAGCGGTGGCGCTATGGCCTCAGGGGACTATGTGGAGGCCAGCGCCGCGCTCACCGGCAGGACCGGGCCGCCCGGCCCCGCCGCCGCCGCATACCACAAGCAAGTATCCCTGTCCCATGTCTAGGAGGCCAGGAGGCCGAGGCCCAGGGACAGTGCCGGAATTGAAGGAGGGGGTTGTTTTGCTTGGTAACTTTGTGAAGGTCACTTCCGTTTACCTTCTTGGTGCTGATGCCCCCTCCCTGCGCGGCTTGGAGAGCGAAAGAGGCCGGTTTCAAGAGAGTACCTGTCCCCAGTTTCTACCGGAGGGGGGGCTCGACTCACGTGCAGTGTATTCTAGTTTGTACTTCTTACTGCCTTTAGAGGAACCCTGTTTTTAATTTATATGTATTTTAATTTTTAACATTGTTGCATTTTGGCAACAATTTACCTTTGTTTTGGGGGCTTCACAATCCTCAAGCAGGCATTGTAATGAGATTACCCTCGGTTCAGGTTTGATTGGACTGTGTGGTTTAAATTGGGAAAATATATTTCCTATACGTGTCTTTTTTTTTTTTTTTTGTGAACAGTGAAAGGCTGCTGTGACTGGGAAGGTGTGGAGTGTCTTTTATTTTTTTTAAGGTTAGTTTTTTTCCTTACACTGCTAAAAACGTCCAGGACACTTAGAGGCCAGAGGCCATCGGCCAGTTCTGTGTGTAGTCCCCTCAAGACCTCCCCGGGAATGCTGAATGATGTGGCTAGGACTATCCCCAAGTAACAAGGTTAGGGAGCTAAAGATTTTTGTGAGCCTCCTTAACCTGGCTCAGCAAGCGCTGCCCTCTTCAGCCTGACCGGAGCCATTCTCATTCCTAAGAGTCGGCTCCGTGTCTTGAATGTGTTAGAGGTGGTATTCTAGAGCTGGACGTACACATTGGCTGTGGTGAGTGAGAGCCTGAGGGATGGCGATTGGTTGAATGTGAGTTCTGAAGCGGCAAGGTGACTGGCGAGGGGGTGAACTTTGTGCCGAAGAGGGAGTGGGTGGTTCTTAATGAGCTCCAGTGATCACTTATTATCTTTAAAGAAACTTGTGCTACAAATTTCAGTCAAAGTAAAGCCACTCGCTTCTTCTGGAAGTACTTAGGAATCCTTGCTAAAGGGGGCTCTCTTTTAGATTAAAGGACAAAAAACGGATGTGCTTCCAGTAATTAAAGTAAGTTCCCATTGCTGCTTATCTGCTCCTCCCCCCTTTATCATGCTAAACACTCTTTCTCGCTTTTCTTATTCCTCCTCCTGGAGAGCGGTGATTAGAAGCCACACCCACCCTCCAAAGAGGTGCAGCAGCCCGGGAAGGGAGGCTAGTTACCTGAGAACAAACATTGACTTGGAGGAAGGAAAACAAGTGTCCCTGAACTCGGAGCTAGTTTAAAGCCAGATGACCCCAAAGCAGCAACACTGTCCCCTCGTAGTCTCTGGAAAACACACAAGATCCATAACTTAAGCTTTGTAATATGGGGCAGTTGTAATGCCTCTGCGGGAGGGACCATCCCCCCACCCCTGCTTTCTTTTCCTTTTCTGAGAAAGCCAGCATTGGAAAAGTCTGTTTGCTTTCCTAATCTGTTTAACCATTCATTCACTAAGAGTGTGAGGCCAATTAAAGAAGTGACAGTGCATCATCAGCCCGCAAGTGCCGGTGGCCAAGACGGAATTTAGGGAGCTAAAATGGCCAAGCAATTAAAACCAGCTGGAATCTAGGCATCCCGGTTTTCATTTGCAGCTAATGGGGGGGGGGGAGGAGCTAAGCCTGCATCAGCTTTACCTCCCAGGTACTGAGTGGAGAAATGCATAGTTCCCACTGGGAATTTAAATGCTTAAGGTCCGACTCTTAAGGTTACTGGGAAGCTGTTCACATTTGTAAAATGTGATGCTTGAGCCAAAATGAAAACTTAAGTGGCTTCTGCAAAACCTCGTACACCTAGCTATAAAGCTCTGTGAATGTCTTATTCTGTTTATTCAGAAACCCCTTCCGGGAAACTCAATAGGCTCCCTGTCTCAACACCACTTCTGCTGTTTTTCAAATGAGGCCCTTTTCTTATCACCTTGACCTCTTGGCTTGTTTAGCGTGTCTTCCCAGAATCTGCTGCCCGAGCCAACTGTGCCTAGTTTGGGTTGTTCTGTCTTCATGAAAAAGAAAATTGTGGAGGAATCTAGAAAAGTCATACAGTGTTTCTAAAAGTTGAGGGATGAAGTGGATGAAAGTGATTTAATTCATTTAAAAAAAGGATTGTTATTTCATCTTAGCAACATACCAAAGCGGTGGGGGGGGGACGACGACAATTAATTCCCTTTGAAAAATAAGAAAGTTGAAACCGATGTGATACTAAGGGATGGGCTACGTAGGTTTGGAAGAAGCCTCAGAAGTCTCTTTTGTTTCTGTCCTCATCTTTCCTCTTTTCTTCTCTCCTACCCTAAGGAGACAAAGAGAGCCCACCTGCTTCCCTGAAGCCTTACTGACGGCGGCTCTAGTCTGCCCTAGGGGAGGGGAGAGGGAAGCTGTGTGTTCGGATGGCCACCTCCTGTTCCCACCACACATTTTCCTCTACTTTGCATTTCTGTTGTGATAACAATAAGTGAAATGACATGAAGAGCTTTGGGGCAGTCCGGCAACCTCTCTGCCAGCTTTGTGTAGCGGGGAGGAGTTGCGCTGGTTTCAGCTCCAGTGTGCACGGTCGAGCTGCCTCACTCACCTCTTTGAGCACTATGATGCTGCACAGGTTACAGGGTGAGGATTTAGGTAGTCTGCAGGGAGAGATGGGACCTCAGTGACACCAGTGGCCAAATGTTAGGGAGGTGTTTTTCATTTTTATTTAATTTTATATCATTTCCCTCCTCCCGTTTTGAAGTTGTCTAAATTGGATGGAAATCATTTTTCTTGGTGCCTTAATTGGTTTATTCTTGCAACCCTTTTGTCATAGTTTGATGTGACCGTTGCCAGTGACCAGGGCCTGTGTGTATGCCTTGTGTGTAATTGTGCGCATGTACAAGCTTAAATAATGTGCCGATGGCACTTGTTCTAAGTTGGTATTCATTAGGCTGTTCCCTCCTGGGCCAGGGCAGCACTAATCTTGACACCGGCTGCCAGGAGACAACATCATGGATCATACACTGAACCTTAATAACAGCATCCGTGACCTGCACTGGCGAGTGTAGAATGGGAACCCCAGAGCTAGAAAGCACAGTTGTGTGTTTTAATGAACTACTGGTCCTGCTAAGGACGCTTCTTTTCGCTTTTGTGCTCTACAGAAAGACCAAGGGGGGTAGGAGGGACAAAGCTTTGAATAAGTGCTTTCTAACACCGAATGTAGCAAACAGGACTGAGCACATCACAAATCTAGGCAGGTGTGAGGTGTGATGGCTAAGAATTGCCTGCTGCCTCTGTGTCCTTTCTTGTCTCCGAAGTCCAATCAAGTGATCCTGGGAAAGAAACAGCTTGGTGACTAACCTGATTCAAACCCTCAGAATCTTCTGTAGCCTGTAGCTGGATGACAATTGCTGGATTTTTTTCTTCATCCAGGATAATGTCTGTCTGTGGTACATCATTTTAAGACAATACTAATTCATGTTATAAACTATGTATAGTATGTATGTTTTGTGGATGTGTATATACGTAATATATATTATATATACATATATATATATATGAGAGAGATTTAGTGACTTTTGATACGGGTTGGTGCAGGTGAATTCATTACTGAGCCAAATGAGGCACATACCGAGTCAGTAGTTGGAGTCCAGGGCATTCAGTGCTGTGTATGGTCTGCATACATGTATAGTGCCTATCCCATGCAGTAAGAACCATCGTTGTCATGCCAAATCCAGCACTCACACGTCAGAGCCAGCAATATTTTATTTGTAGACAATCAGCTTGAATCTATAGATTATGACTGGCAATGATTATAATTCTGAATCCATAACACTAGCAAAAGGTAACCCTGAGTATCTTGAAGAGAGGTTTTTTTTTTTTTTTTTTTTTTTGTCTTGTGCCTGGAAGTCAGTACAACAGCAATTGTATGTGGTTATGTTAGTCTCAAGATCCTTAACTTGTTGACCTTATGATTTTGGAAATTTTTTGTATTATATTTGTGGGAAGGTAAAATAATGGTTTAAGATTTTTATCAAATATGGAGATTAGTTATTTATGAAAAACAAAGAAATGTCTATTTTTGTTTCTTTGTTCCCAGTTCATGTAGATAACTTTTTAAAATGCATTAAAGCAATGGTGAAGAAAATACAATAATGCTGTACTGTCTTTTTCCCCTTTATGGAGAAATGCCTTGGTTTCCAAGAGTATCTGAGATGCAGAGTCTAACTTGGTCACCAGATGTCTCAGATAGCCTTAAAGTATACACAACTGAATTTTCATCAGATAATCAAATTCCAGTCAGAAGAGGAATACATTTCCCTCACCTGTGCTTCCTGCGTTTCTCCTGCTTATACTGCAGTTTGCTTCATTATTCATTTGAAGAAATGAAGGGTGCTTCGTGAAAGATCAGAGGCATGGTCTGACTGTTCTGTTTGACAGACGTGTGTGCATTGCACCTGTTTGATAAGCTGCATGCTGTGTGTGTCTGGATGAGGGGCAGGTGTTGAACTCAAATAACTTCAGGTTGGCAGCCAAGAAGTAGGACCACAGTTCACTGAGAATGACACCCAGTTCCCTTCCCCATCCCCAGGTAATTTGACTGGGTGTCAGAATGCTTATTGGTGGACTGTCTTGGCAAAATTCAATGAGTCTATAAAGTAACTGTACCTCATATTCCCCAGCGGTGCTCTCAGGCATTGTGGGGAAATGTGAAGGAAACATGGACTTAAGGCTTTAAATGTATAGGGCAGAAATATAATAATGGCTACTTAATCCAATGTCAGTTTGTATACAATGGACTTCAGTATATGGCAGGGAGGGGGAGCCAGTCTGAGAAACAGAGAACAACATCCCGCCGAAGGGCAACTACAGTTCACATGGACAGGACTCTAGCATGTCTCCTCCTTGGCTTCTCTTGGCTCACTGTCACCCAGTGGAGAAAGGGGGGATGAGAATCCGAAACTAGAGCAAGGGCAGGGAGCATTTACACAGTTGGAGAAAAGGTGCCCTCCCAATCATTGGCAATATCACCATTCCTTTTTTTTCTTAATGACTCAATTTACAGAGTTCTTTAGTTTGTCAATATGGAAGCTTAGAGGGAGAATGATTGTGTGTGTTTGGATAAAGGATACAGATTGATTGTTAGTTCAAATCCCAGCTCTACTACTTACAAGCCCCGATCCAGGACACTTTTATTCCAGATTTCTCATTTGTGAAGAGAGAATAATAGCACTTATGTTTGGGGGTCCAGAAGCTTTAGAAGGTTAAATCAGGCAAGGTAAGTAATGCTAGGAGTCCGCAGCTGTTCCTGGTGTGGAACGGAGGGGGCAGCTTTCACAGGGCGTCAGTGGTGGCTCTGAGAAATGCACTCCAGTTTCAGCCCCAGGGTTGGAGATTTAGTTAGCCCTGGGACCTCAGGTGGGTTTTGCTTTTATAAAGATACTTAAAGCCAGGTGTTGGTGGTGCACGCCTTTAATCCCAGCACTCTGAAGGCAGAGGTAGGCGTATCGCTGTGAGTTTGAGGCCGGACTGGACCGACAGCCTCCAAAACAATACAGAGAAACCCTGTCTTGTAAAACCAAAACCAAAACCAAAAAAAAAAAAAAAAAATTAAATCCGGGAGTAATTATGTAAATCTAAAATTACTCATTTAAAAATTGCATGGATAATTAAGAGTCCTTGTTTGCTTCTTCCTCACTTCCCCTAATGCTAATAACCTTTTTTGTGTTTTGTTTTGAGACAGGGTCTCTATGTAGTGACAGCTGTCCTGGAACTCTAGACCATAGGCTAGCCTCAAACTCAGAGATCTACCTGCCTCTACCTCAATTGCTGGGGTCAAACATGTTAATGTCTTAACCATGGTACATGTTACAAAAAGTCAATGCTGGCCCTTGTCTGTGAACTCTAGACAATCAGACTTCACACTAGTGTTCTGGGATCCAGCGTTCATGATACCATATTACCTTTCGACAAGGACTTTGAGCTGATGAGAGGTAGCTGCTATTGAGAAATCAAATATGTAAGTGACTGCCTTAGTTATGGAAGTGCACTGCTGAGTTGGCAGCAGCTGCTCTGGGGCATGGACGGGCTGGTCCAGATGAGCTAAGGAGTAGTTAACCTACAAACCATAGAAAGCCTGCATTTCCTTGAACCTGGCGCCAATCGAGGGCTTTTATGGTCACCAGCATGAAGCGTGCCATGTTGGACATTTGCCAAGAAGATTACAGGTGACAAAGCTGGAATGGAGTACAGCAACAGGCTCTCAGGGACTTGAGCCAGGTAAGGAGTGGGTGTGGTGGGGAGGATGGGGGTACAATGAATCTCAGCCTTTGGGGGGATTAGTTCTACTAGAGAATAACCAGAGACTTCAGGTGGTTTGTAGGGTAAGGGAATGGAACAGCAGGGTTTTTAAAGCCATCATACTCAAATACAGTATTTGCTGTATCTTCCTGTGGCTCTTTGGTTCTGGGACTACCACTGAATTTCTTTGGTCACAATGAAGCTGCCCAGTTTTTTGTTGTTTTGTTTTTTAAGATTTATTTATCCTGTGCAGTGTTCTGCCTGCATGTACGCTTGTCTACCAGAAGAAGGCACCAGATGTGGTTACACATGGTTGTGAGCCTCCATGTGGTTGCTGGAAATTGAACTCAGAACCTCTGGAAGAACAGCCAGTGCTCCTTAACCTCTGAGCCATCTCTCCAGCCTCCGAAACTGCCTAGTTTTTTACAGCAGTTATGAGGCTAGGCTTCTTTTTGTTGTTGTTTTAACAGCTTTTAAAGACTATCTGAACTTTTCCCTTTTAAAAGAATGTTAACTTTTCACTGGAGTCATGATTCCTCTTCTATACAACTTTATATCCCTTCCTGCACCCTAAAGACCTCAAACCACAAGGTGGGATTGCTAAAGTTTTTTTCACAGAAAGTAAAATGTTCTCTTTCTGGCAAACCCACTTAAAACAGCTAAGTGAAAAGAGCCCAAGAGCCCAAGGTTGCTCTGAAGTAGTAGGGGGAAGTGCCCTGTTTTATCCTTTGTGGCATTTGCTGGCACGGTATCAGGCCTCCAGATAGGTTAAGTGGCTGGCAGACTGGAGGTAACCTTATGCTGGACTCGTTGACCCATACTAGGCGCACAGTTTGCATAGAAAGTAGCACTTCACCTTGGGGTATTTCTCCGCTGAGTGCTTTCTTTCCAAATAGTACTATCTTAAGAATGCAGCTTCTGGGTGAAGGACCAGGCAGGCAAACCAGTCATTTTAAACATGGCTGGAGTGAAGAATGAGTTGTGAAAGGTTTTAGCTAGCCTGCATAGCTTAGCTTATAAAAACAGTCTAACCTGATACCTGGTTGTTAACACCGACTGACGTCTTTGCATCAGGGAATGTTGCATTTAGGGACATAAGAAACTAAACCAAGCTGAGCTGTCATAAAACCAAAGTTCTGTGTTGTTGAATTTAAAAAGCAGGAAGTGTGGAAGGATGGGCTGGGTTGAAATCTGATACAAAGAAATCTAACCATAAACGGAGCGAATTACTAAGCAGCAGCACTTTTCAACCTGCAAGAATGGGAGTTTTACTGGGGTCAAACACGCATTTCAGATCTATCTTTTCTGCATAATGCAATTACCACACACCAGTCAAATCTCTGTCAGTGTGGCACAGGACTTTAATCTCAGCACTCTGGAAGCAGAGGCAGGAGGATCTCTGAGTTCAAGACCAGCCTGGTCTACAGAGCAAGTGCCAAGCCAGTGAGGCCTGCATAGCGAGACCCTGTCTCAAACATTCACAGCCTGTTATTTGGTAGGCAGTCTTACAGTAGTGACAGAAGGAAATTTTCACTTTAAAACATGTTTCTCGACGGGCAGTGGTGGTGCACACCTTTAATACCAGCACTTGGGAAGCACAGGCAGGAGGGTCTCTATGAGTTCAAGACCAGCCTGATCTACAAGCGCTAGTTCCAGGACAGGCTCTAAAGCTACAGAGAAACCCTCTCTCAAAAAACCAAAACCAAACAAATCTGTTTCTCAAAAGAAAAAAGTTAGTATTGAAGATGTTTTATTTGTTTGCTTTTGCTATTTCATTTGCATTTGTGGGCTATTAATCAAGTAAACTGCACCTTTCCTAAAAAGTAAACACTTATTCTAAAAATGTAGAGGTTAAAAACAAAAACTAAAAGACCACCACCACCACCGCCATCTTCTAAAACACAAAAGCAAAATGGATGAGTCCAGACTGATGTTCCTTTCATTATCTTTTCAGAGTACAGAGCCCTGAGGAGATGCTAGTTAGCACCTTACTGGTGATTTGGTTTTCATGCCCAGTTTGTCATGACCCTACCCAACTTTCAGTGGCATTTACATATTCAGTTGATGCAATTTCCCACTTACCGACAGGACTCAGGTTCTAGTGTCAAGGTCAAAGAGAGAAAAACAATTCTCAGTGATACTCATGGTGCTAAATTACCAAAAGTGGCAGCTTCATGTCACAGTCTTTCCCAGATCATCGTTTAATATTTGTCCACTCATGCAGTCAGCATTTCTACATATAAGATGCAAATATTTTTAAAAATATTAACTTGTGTACATGTGCTTGAGCCTGAGGTCAGGAGTGTGTCAGCTCTGGTGCTGGAGTTACAGTCAGTCATATAGGTGTTGGGAATCAAAGTCAGGTTCTCTACAAGAGCAATACAGGCATTTAACCATTGAGGCACCTCTCTAGCTGCAATATACAAATTCTTATGTGTGTTTGGTTTTTCAAGACAGGGTTTCTCTGGGTAACTGCACTGGCTATCATGGAGCTTGCTCTGGAGACCAGGCTGGTCTTGAACTCACAGGAGATACACCTGCCTCTGCCTCCTGAGTGGTGGATTAAAGGTGTGCAGCACCACCCCGTGGCTTATGTGATTTATGACAGGTTTTCCCTTCCTAGATTGTCAGTTCAGTTATCCTATGTCAAGAACAAAGGGATCCATCACTCTAGGATCTGACTTCAAATACTGAAAAAGTAAAATAAATGTGCAGCACGAGCAGAATTTAGTAACAATTCTTAGTCAGGACCCTCACTGAGGATCACAACAGGCCGGGCTGTTCAATATTTCCAGACCTGCCAAGTATACATAGTTTTGTTTTGAGATAGTCCCTATCTCAAAACAAAA